AAACTTGACTTTAGCAAGAAAAACAAGTTGAATCAAAGTTAAATAAAAAAGCATATGACTGTAAATTCATAGGAAAATATATTATACTCTCTTTAAAAAAATAAAATAAAAAAATTCAACATTGTAAGTGAAGTCCTCCTATATCTTTAAATACGTTAAAACACGATAATAAAGTGATAATATATTATTTAAATGGGTTTATATTAAAACTATTACTTCATTTGTTTCCTAAAATTATATTCATTTTTCTTATTTTAAAAAATATTTTTATTTTTTTTATACCGTAAAAAATACATATTCATATTAAAATATAAGGTAAATTGTTTTTTTAATTCCGTAACTGGACCCCTTATCATTTTAGTCCCGTAAGTGGAGTCTGTCGCAAACTAGTCCTATAAGTGAAAAATTTTCGTTGTTTTAGTCCTCCGGCGCCGGAGACGCCCGCGTGGCTAGCCGGAGGTGACGTGTCCACCGGGTGTCGCTGACCTGGCGGACACGTGGATTTTTTTCTTTTTTTTTTAATTTTTAAAAATTTTTTTAAAAATTTATTTTTAATTTATTTTAAATTTTATTTGTATTTTTTTATTTTTTATTTGGTCCAATTAAAAAAAAAAAAAAAAAAAAAAAGGTAAATCCGGCGAGTCACGCGTGCGTCTCCGGCGCCGGATGACTAAAACAGCGAAAAACTTTCACTTATGGAATTAGTTTGCGACAAGCTCCACTTACGGGACTAAAATAATAAAGAGGTCCAGTTACGGGACTAAAAAAAATAATTTACCCTAAAATATATTTTTTAGCTCATAGAAAATAAGATTATTTTTTTCATGTTGGTTATACATTATTATTATTATTATTATTATTATTATTATTATTTTGATAACGTGGGGAACCCTCTATTGCTATTTTCGAATGCATTTTGGGATAAATTCTTGATCGAACCTAGTTATAAATTATTTGATGATTTGTTTGGTTGTAATTTGAAATGAGGTTTTAGATTTAGATTTTTATTTAAATATTATTTTAATGTGATATTTTATGAGAAAAAAAATATTTTTTTTTTTATTGAAAATTGAATAAATAGTATTGATTTGAATTTAAAATAATCAAATAAAAACCCTATATTAGTTAAGTAAAATAATTTTTTTATTTTAAAATATTTTATAAAAAATTTTTTGTCAAACTTATAGATATTTCTTTGATAAATTTTTTTTTAAAAAAAATAGAGCATGTATCCATAAATTTAGAGAGTATTTGGCAAAATAATTTTTTCAAGAGCTTTTAACTTTTTGATAAATAAATCAACTAATTTTATTGTTTTGTAAAATTAGCATTTTAAAATAATTTATTGGACCCAATAATTTCTGAAAAGCTGTATATCCAGCGTTTCAAATTAACTTTTTCATTTTAATTTTTTTTATACTTATATACCCTTAAAAGTTAATATTTCTTTCACACAAATATTAATATATTTTTTTATTAAAATATTGATTAGTTATTTGAATTGTTTTTCTAACAACTTATAAATCTATTTTTATAAAATTTTAAAATAATTAAAATTAATTTTTTTATATATCAATAATTTTAATAGTAAAAGTTTTAAATTTATTAAAATAAAAGCTAAATAAAAATATTAATATTATTAAGTCATTTATATATTTTTATCACATGAATTTTTCTATTAAAATTTATTATATATATTTAAATTTATAAGTTTAATAAAAAAATGTATTAATTAATATTAATCTAAAATAAATATATACAATTGATTTGTTTTTTCTACATTTATATTATCTCTAATGAAAAAAGAATGCTTATATTTTAAAAAAGAAGTATATTGGAGTAATACTTTTACAAGATATTAAAAAATAAAAATAAAAAAGAAAATATTGTAATAGAATATTCATAATTTTCAATAACTAATAATTAAATTCTAAGAAATTGTACACACGAAAAAAAGTAAACTAAATATTTTAAAAATAAATTATAAAATATCTTTAATTGGTATTTTACGTGTAAATAACTAATACTGAACCGCTATTTTACCAAACAATTTAGTACAAATAACTAATATATTCAGTTAGTCAAACAATCTAATCGAATTAGCTAACAAGTTAATTGTCAGCCTAAATAAGTATATTCTTATTAAAAAGATATATATATTTCACTTTTATTTTAAACTAAAAATAATGATTTATAAAATATAATATTAATATTTTATTTAAATAAAAAAATTTATATTTCCTCCATTCTAAAACAACAGGAACATTAGGATGAGCACAATAATTAAAGAATAATTGTATTATATCGATAATTAGTGTAAAAATATTTTTAAAAGACCAAAATATTCCTACTTTATATAACTATTATAAAAAAGTGGGAATAATTTTGTAAAAAAGTGGAAAGTTGATTACTAAAAATAAAAATAAGACTATGACAAAATGAGACTATTATTTTTTAATGGAGAAAATATTCAAATACAAATCAAATCTATTTATAATTTTTTTTTTCTTTATAACCTACAAAGGAATTAAATTAAAAGTTTGTTTAGTTAAGGTTTGTTTCTTTACTAAATATTCTCCAACATATTTTCCTCAAAATATTAATATTTTGTAGATATATTTATTATTTTTATATTATATACACAATTACAATTTTTATGTTTCACATAAAGAAATATTTTCAAATCAAACACAAAATAAAAATAATTTTTTTTCTCTATATAATTTAAATTTTATCTCTTTTTTTTTTTCAATTTTATAATTTTTTAATCTTTTATTTGAAATAATTTTAAATTTAAAGTCGAATTTTAAAAGTAAAAATAATGAAATTATAATACATACATTCTAAGAAGGTAATTTTGACAAAATTAAACATCAACAAGTGATTCATATGTACACAAATTGTTAAAAAAATGAGTACACTATATAATTACTCCCTCCGTCCCAAAAATATAATCTTCGTTATGTTGAACACGGAATTTAAGAAATATTGATATTATATTAATAGTCGGTAAAAAAGTATGGATAAAAGATTTTTTTACTCTTATAAATGTATTAGTATAAAAAATAGTAACAATTGTGTAATAATAATGAAAAAATAATAGTACTTTTATAGTGATATGGTTATTTATGGAAATAAGACTATTATTTTGAGACGAACAAAAATAATAAATAAAATTATTGTATTAGGACGAAGGTAGTGTTATTTATAAAATTATATTTTATCTCAAATTTCTTGCAACAATAAAATTAACTTTTAAATTTCTATTTCTAATTACTATAAAGATGAATTATACTAATAATTATGATAACTTCTCCAATATTAATTTTTAGAATATAAATCATAATTATCACATTAATATATATTTTAATATTATATGATCACTTATATTTTATTTAATATTATTTTCAACAAAAAAAATTAATCATCATATCATATATCATATATATATTTAATAAGACATTTCAATTCTTCAATTCTCATAAGTTTGAAAATTTTATGAATTAAAAAAATGCTATCATAATCATAAGATTCCAACCATCAATTTTGAGAATAGTTAATATTGTGGTAATCGATTAATTAATTTGTACTCTATGTAGCATATGGTTATTGTCTTGTTTGAGAATGATATATAGTTTTAGCTAAAAAAGTAATATGGAAAGAAAAAGTGTTATATTGTATTTACAAAATTTAAATTCGGTTGTTTTGGATTAAACTTTTCAATCAAAATGTTTGTTTCATTTCATAGGAGAGTCAAACAATGTTTACCGTTGGTTGAAGATGATTTTCCTTTGACAAATATTGCAATTCCATGGCCAATGATGGAACTTGGGGAGGAAACCTAAACTTGCAAGCAAATTCTCTTGTCATGCAATGCAACATATGCATTTTTAAAGTATGTCTTTCTTTCTTCCAACATCATTAATAGTGTCTCATGATTTCTTTTGATTTCCATTATCATTATATTGTCACAGAATTTGTAGAAAATAGCAATTTCTTATCTTGTTTGTGTTGTCAAAATCTTCGTGTTTGTACATTTTAAATTTTACTGACAATGATTATCAAATAATTTATGTGTAATTAATACCTACAGAGATTACTTATTTACCCTTCAATTTAATATTAACCATTAGATTAAAATATAATATAACCGATAAAAACTAATCAACATCCTATGATTATGGCTAATCAGTAAGGTAAGAGCCGCCCATATATATATATATACATTGAACAAGAGACTTTGATCTGCGTTTTCATAATTTTAGAATTTTATTTTATTTTTTTAATATTAAATTTGGATAATTAATTAAAAGTTTTTACAATAACTAATAATCCAATAAAATTAAGATATATTAAATAATAAATAACACAAATATCGATAAAATGATGACTTTTTTTTTTTATATCTTTATATATACTTCACTTTTAATTTTATAAATTGTTCGATTTTAAAATTTTTGGTGTATTTAAATCGTATTTTTGAAAGATTCTTATTTGGTCTTGCTAATTCGGACTTTTTTCTTTATTTGAAAAGATTTTTTTATTATTATGTATTATTTTTAGTTTATATTAATCAATTCTAGATTAAGAAGAAGCAAAACATAATCAATATATATATTTTTAAATTATTTATTATTTTCTTTTACTAATCAATTTTTTATTCAAATTGATTTAATTTTTAATATAATACTATTTTAATAAATTTTATAATTTTATAGATTATGTTCAAATTTGGATTATTTATTAAAAAGAATATTACGATAAGTTTTAACATAAAAATTTTATTTTTTATTGTATTTATTGTAGTAGTTCTATTATTGTGTTTGTATGTTTTAACTATTTATGTTATTCTTATTTTTTTAAATGAACTTAAATTTATTTTATTATTCAAATCCGAAAAAAAAAATCTTAACAAACAGACCATTATATTTAAAATAACGAGAGTCACGACGTGCGAGCTGCAACACCGCTGGCAGTTCTTCGCTATTCCCTTTTTTTTTTTTAATAAAAATTTCCAGTCGACATTCATCACAAACAAAACTGCATTGTACTTCTCTCGTTGTTCCTCGTAATTTTCCATTATTGAATCTTCCAATCATTTCGATTCGCTTCGTAGTCGGAATCTCAATTTGTCGCAGTGTTACTCTCTATTTGAGACTCGTCCGCCGCGAGAGTGACTTTAATGCTTTCCATTGTACGGGGGTTGAATTTCCGACGGTGTTTCAACTGATTGTGGAAGTTAGGGGGGTCTGAGATTGACTCATCTTGCCGTCTGAGAAGAACCCTCATCCTATTTAATTTCCTGCCGCAGGGGATTGATGGGATTCATCATTCCATCAAATAAAGAACATTGCCTGAAAGTTTTCTGATTTATTGAATGTTTGCTTTGTTCGTCGGATTGGAGACGAAGCAGCCTGAGTAAGGCGCATTGGTGATGGGGAGGAAGCCAGCCGATTTGTGCATTGCCAAATTTACGTGCTTTCTCTGCAAAGCAAATTTGGAATTTGATTTGTATTGAAATTTGAAAGAAGAGGAATGATGGAATCGAATGCTGCCGGCGGTGGGAATGACGAAGCCTCGCCGGACATGTTGAGGAATACTCCGTTCAATATCAGAAGGTTGACCAACGAGATTGAGCAGTGTGAGGGTAGGCAGAAGTATGTAGCTCACACTAGAAGTCCCTCGGATGGCAGTGATGTGAGATGGTATTTTTGCAAGGTTCCACTGGAAGCAGATGGTCAGTGCCTGTTCTGTCACCGGACTTCTTCTCAAATTGTTGATACACTTTTGTCGAAAGTGTTAGTTATGCTTTCATTACCTTGCTTTTTAGCTTGTATGCTTTAACTGGAAGTTTTTCACTGGTCTTTTGATAATGTAATCGATGAATTGAATGGTTTAATTGGTTGTTTGGTCTTGACTGTCTATTTGGTACCCTAATTTTGGCGAAATTTATGGTTTATGTTCTGCTTTGCTTTAGCCTGTGCTTGCCAATGATGCTAGATTAGATCTGGAGAAGGAATATAAGATATATATTTGGAAAATACTAATTGCACTGGTGTCCATGTGGATGACTTTATGGAAGCTTTAAGGATATGCAGATGAGTGATTGACAAGGTCTTTGCATTATTGACAAGTAATGAATAGCTGCTTTGTGAAAAGGTTGCGAAATTTAACAAAATTTATAGTTGGATAATCAGGGTGCAATCATGCTGATGCTTATTGAGGATATTTCATTCTAAATCGAATAATTTATAAGTTATCTAACATAAGGGAGCTCCACTGCACTTCTTGTAAATGATTTAATGAATGAAGTTCCTTATACATTGTTATATGCCAAATTGCGTCTAACTGAAATAAATGTTAGAGGTATTGATTGGACAAATGAATCTATAGCTTTTATTTAGGGTGGCACAGAAGGTAATTTCATAATAGCTTGTTTTAATTCATTGGGATCGATATGCCCAACCTGGAGTGATGGAGTGCCAAGGCTCTTTGTAATTTTAGTTCCTTGCTGTAATGAGCTTTTAGACCATGAAAGCATTTTCACAACATCTTATAATGTTGCTTGCTTTATGTAAAAAGGTATCATTTGTTTTACTCCTCCATAGGCTCCACTTTATACTTGTGTTTTACATCTCTGTGATGGATATTACTTGTATGATTTCCAGAGCTAGCTGCATCAGTTCCTCGAACGGAAATTGTTGGAAAAGGTGATTATTTTCGATTTGGAATGAGGGATTCTCTTGCGATAGAGGCATCCTTTTTGCAGGTTATTTCATTTTCCTTCCGCCTTGATGTTTATGTGGCTTTATATTTTGTTAATTACCATATAATAGGAAGAAAACTGCTTGTTCCTGTATCTTTAGAGAGAGGAAGAATTGCTTTCTAGTTGGTGGCAAGAGTATGCAGAGTGTACTGAAGGCCCTACGGAGCCATGCATTGTTTCCAAGTCAACCCTGCAGACAAAAGTTTGTCTTCCAAAAACTTCTGGCCAGCAATATGCAGTTGTAGAAGAAAGAGTTGGTGTCCCTGTAAAGGGTGGGTTATATGAGGTATCCGTGGGTTTTTGTTTGCATTTTGTTTTGATTTTTTAGTGAATTAGTTGTTGGATGTGACGTTTTGAATGGAAAAATGGTATATCATTATAGGGAATTGTGATGTTGCATAGTAAACTGACAAAAAAAAAGAGTGAGAGAGAGAGTCCGTATTTCTGTAAAGAAAATGTGTGGTTTCCTTGTAAAGGGCGATTGGGAGAGAAGCTTTTTTATATGTATTCTTGGAACCCAATAAATTGCATCTATCTTAGAGATATCTAAGTTGTTTGTTACTTTTTACAGTCTTCTATTGGCTTTTCTGGAAAGTGGGCAAGAAATTTTGACTACTCTATTATGGATATATTGCAAGTATCATGCTTGGTTATACAGATTCTACTTTTTCCTTCCATGGTAGACATTCTAAAACTGTATTTAGTTATTAGGTAATACTGTTCATTTTCTTATGCTTATCCGCAACCTTTTCCCCGATAGTTATTTTGAGAGAGTTGACAGAAGGATGTATACCGAGCTCTCTATGCACTTGCAAGGTGCATCAATTCTGAGATGGGGTAGACTGACTACTTTACAATCTGATCATATTCAACAAAATATCAATAACACCAACCACTTTACTAAACTGTCCTGGCAAAGAGTTTTTTGTTTATGCTTTGATTTGGAAGATTTTTGACGTATGTTAAGTATGAAAGTATGTCCCTAGCTTGTATGTTATTTCAGCTCTTTCCTAGCTTGAATGCCATTTCTGGATATAAAAAATAAGTATAAATAAGAAGTTGACTAGGTTGCATCTATGCAGACTTGTAGACATGGAGAAAAAGAAATAAGATGAGGGTAGAATGTAGGTCGTGAGAAATATGCATCCAGGACACAATCTTATTCATTGATAAGATGTCTGTCCTTCCTGGACCCTGACATAATTTAATGTTGCTTCATTTCCAGTTATTTTCAACAAATTTTCAACTTTATCTACCCAGTTTGTTCCGTGGCTTCTGAATTTGTGATTTGAAGCTGTCCTTTCAAAAGTTTAAGTGCAGAACTAACTAAGCTTATAGGTCATATCAAATTTAATCCAATATTTTCTGGAATTGTCATTCTCTCTTGAAAAAGGTGTTCTCTATTGCATATGAAAAACGTGCTTTTCAGCCTGGCTATGTTAGCAGACTTTTGGTGTTTTACATATCTCTGTGGCTTGAGCAAAAGGAACTATCTTAGTCTGACAGTTCTATCTAAGCAAGCATGCTTTAGATAAGAATATGACAATGAATTTTGGAAGTGGCCCATTCTATTGGTTTACTGCTCCAGAAATGTGTTTCACATGCCTGTCGACTCTATCTTCTGGATTTTGTTAGATTTTTCCAGAAGTAATTTGATAGAAATATTAAGATGATATTTGATATTTGAATCCATTATTTGTGATTTGGTGTCACATGAAAATTGTGAACTGTGAAAAAATATAATTACTAATCCTTTCTATTATAAATAAACATCAAAATTCTACATCAAATAGAACTAGTTGGATTGGAATAATTAAATGCACTAATCAACTTTCCACAGTATCTCCCATGTTTTCCTGATAAATTTAAAAAATTTCTTTCGTGTCTTTACCTGTAACCATGGAGTGTGTGTGTATGTGCATGTGTATGTAAGACATGCAGCTACTGTAAGAGTGGCCACCTCAGTTGTCGATATGGAAAAAACAAGAACATAAAATGCTGAAGAATTTTGTTACTGCAGGTAGATTTGGTCAGGAGACATTGTTTTCCTGTCTACTGGAATGGAGAGAATAGGCGTGTCTTACGAGGCCATTGGTTTGCTCTTAAAGGTGGAATTGAATGGCTTCCACTGCGGGAGGATGTTTCTGAACAATTAGAGCATGTTTATTGCTCTCAGGTGTTCTCCAACTATAATATGTTGTTACTTGATCCAGTGAATTAGTAGGGTATAATTATGTAGCATATTCAAACTTTTGTCAAGATATCTTTAAGGTTCCAGTGCAGTAGGCTTTGATAATAAATCTATTTTATATTGCCATTGTTCACTTTCATTCTTCATTGTTATGAGTTTTTGGGTCAGTATAAAAGTCAGCAGATTAATTCAAGAAGTTTGGGTACCTTCCTTTTAGGTTTGGCACCGAAGAACTTTTCAACCGTCAGGTCTCTTTGCTGCTAGGGTTGATTTGCAAGGCTCTGTACCAGTATGAACCTGTACTTAAACTACTCTCATGCTGGTTAAGTTGAAACCTTATATGGATACTTTGTGGTTGTAGGGGCATGGCAAGCAACTTTTTATACATTATCCTTTTCTTTGTGGTTGCAGGGACTGCATGCCCTTTTCACAGGGGAAGATGACACATGGGAAGCTTGGTTAAATGTTGACTCTTCAGGATTTTCTGGTATGGTTGGCTTTGGACGAGATGGCATTAAGTTAAGACGTGGATTTGCTCCATCCCCGTCAAAGAATCCAACACAGGCAAGTTGTCTCACTTCTAACCTAGTTTTCACTTCCTATTTTCTCTTTGACAATCAAATCCATGGGAGAATGAAACTGTGATGTAAGGTTACATAAACAACCACGTGTTTCATAAATCATGAAAATAGTCTCATTTCTTACTTTGCATACTCATTTATGAGTTCTTTCATGGTTACACTGCAAAAAATATTATGATTTAAGATACACCTCACCTATTCAGCAATCGCATCGAATCCCATGGAATGCCATAAGGCCTTGTTTACCAGGTTGGATTTACACACATTATTTAAAGATTAGTCAACCATCACCTTTGTTATGTCTATTTTATGCTTTTTCTTCGTATGAATTATTTAATTGTTTTCACTCAATTTGTCATTTCCGTTTTATTGATTATTGTTTAATCTCTACTTTTGAAATTAGAGCATAGTTTAATATATAAAAATTTAAAAGGAAAAAACAAGTTTAATCTAATTAATAAATGAACTGAACAAATGCATTGGCTGATTTCTCTTTGCAAAATGAGGTGCTAGAGGTTTTTCAAAGATCTTTCTGTTTGGCTGTAAACTTTGTTCTTTCAATTTGTTTCTGCTGTTTTCCATAGTTCTCTCATCTCTCTCTTCTCTTCATTGACATTCTGTCTCTGCTATTATATATAAAGATTCTCTCTTCCCCCACCCAAAAAAAAAAAAAAAAAAAAGGAACTGAGCAATCATCTCAAATAAAAGATAATTAGCTAATTTTTTTTTAAATTTTAGAATAAAAGGTTTACGTTTTGGTTCTTAATTCTTAGAATTAAGCAGTGATGATAGTTATTGTGTAACTTTTAGTCTAAACTTGTGTTAAACCCATTGATAACAATTAACAACACTTCTGCAATATCTTTTTGTGAACAATATTCTCTACTTGACTTGTTATGCTTCTCTTATATAAAACTGAGAGGTTGCTGATTCTTAAAGCCATTTAGCCTTTTCTATAATATTTGGCCACTCAGCTGATGAACTAAAGCACTACTATGACTTATATCTTGACCCTCTAACTGTAAGTGGGCAATACTGCTCATCCATCTTCCTATCTTTGTCAGGATGAATTACGCCAACGGAAGGAGGAAGAAATGGATGATTACTGTTCACAGGTATGCTCTGAAGTAATTTTCCTTTAGTGTATATACATGACTTGTAGAAATCTGGAATTAATTTCTGATCACTTTATTCATCAACCTAGTAGAATATATAAAATAAAGGTTGAAAGAAAAGCTCTAGAAAATAGGAAACTACCTAACAAACATTGATCACAAATCTCTCCTAATAAACAGCTATACACAGATTTCCTACAACTAATATACACCCAACTTCCAGTATTTTATGCACTCCCCTCAAGCTGGGCAGTATACTAATCATGCCTAGCTTGGAACAAAGATCATGGAAGTTAGGATGGTGAAGAACCTTCGTAAGGATGTCTGCAGTTTGATACTGACATGGAACATGACTCAAAGTAATTACTTGGTCTTCAATCTTTTCACTGATGAAGTGCCTATCAAGAGCCAAAAAATTTATTAGCATTTCAAGATTTGTATAGTCTTGAATAGTATATTATTAAACATACATACAGACACACATCAAACACTTGATGTTGAACTTTACACTCCTTATAGTTTGTGTTAGAATTGGAAGAGTGAAAGAGATGTTTGCATTCAGATTATTACTCTTCATTGAGATTATATGGGTATGTTATATGGAATTAATCGAAATCATAGACACAAATTACACTTGATATTGCACACTAATTCTAGGCACTAATCACTAATCTTGCTAATTAATACTAATAATATCAACAGTTTGTACAGATCTTTGCAATCATCCTTTCCTCTTTGCTGTTAAGTATCATTGTTGAACAGCATGTGATAGAACTCTCTTAACTTTAATGATAATTTGTGTGCAGGTTCCTGTTCGACATTTAGTATTCATGGTTCATGGTGTTGGCCAAAGGTTGGAGAAGTCCAATTTGGTGGACGATGTTGGAGACTTTCGACAGGTAACAGTAAATGTTGCCGAAAGACACCTGACCTACCATCAACTTAGTACACAAAGAGTTCTTTATATTCCTTGCCAGGTATGCTGTGTTTTTCCATTATTTTTCAGTTCACTAAGATACCTGACACATGGCAATCCTTGGTTCATAGACACAGAAATACCTAAAATTGATTTTATGGATTTAACCTAATTATTTTGTATGCTAGAATTATTGAATAGTTAGATATTTTTCTAGTTAACTACTGTGCAATCATAATAAAACTGGATAGTTATGATAACTATTTTGTTGAATGCTATTATTCAATAATGAATGTTTTATTGGAAAACTTAAAAAGTCTATTACGCATTCTCAATAGGCCAGAAAAGTATATTCATTTTGTATTATTGTTTGTTTCACTTGTGCTTAACAGAATCTTGTTATCGTTATTGACGTTTTTCCTTTGACAGTGGAGGAAGGGTTTGACCTTTAGAGGGGAAGTTGCAGTTGAAAAAATCACTTTAGATGGTGTCCGAGGATTGCGAACTATGTTGGGTGCAACAGTTCATGATATTTTATATTATATGAGCCCTATATATTGTCAAGAGATCATAGACTCGGTACTGTTATATCATCTCTTTCCTTTTCATTCCACATCTTTAATCTTTTCTAATGAAATGCTTATAAGTTTGATAAGTTTCTCTTTTGTGTTTCTGATTTCATCAAGCACTATGCATTTCCTTTATTGTGTATGTATAATAGAGTTTTTCTCCTGCTCATATTATGTAATTTTATATTTGTTCTATATTTGTAAATATGAAACTATTACTTGAGTTCTATTCTATTTTAATTTTTGTGGCTAACAGGCCCCATCTTGCTTTTGTTCTGTCTGATAAGGATTTAAACATTTTTCAAGGGATGTCCATTATAGATATTTTATTTAAGTTTTTCAAAATATTTGGAATATACATATATATATATATTTTATATTGTATGATTAAGTAGATTTTATAAAATATCTTAATAAATAAACAAAATTCTGAAAGTTGGATAGGGATTTTGAAGCAAATGAACACCTTAGAGCATTTAGAATGCCCGTGAAATACACTTGCATCTAATTGTTTAACCGAAAATTTTTAGCTAGTTCATTATAAAAAATATAATATGAAAAAAAAGAAGAGAAATGCAAAATTATTGTGTAGATTTTGCTACAGGTGTCTGCATCAGTACTTAATTTCACAAGGATCTGTGTTAAGCTTTTCTTCTTAAAATCACCGGGATATTCTAATATTTTAGTCAATATCCTCAGAAAAATATCAGCATTAGGCTATAAAAAAAAATAAAAATTGATAATTGACTCCATCCTACCATCAAAACAATTTTGAAGCTTTATGTCAGTCCAGTTGCATTTGATTATCTTCATGTTGCTCTAGATATTTAGATGAATTCAAAATGTTTGTAGTTGATGTAATAACCTCTAACCTTGCGAGATTGAGGGCTAAATAATTAGTTTCAGTATCCTTTACGTAGTTCTGGTGCATTTAGGCTTTATCATTTATTTCTGTAATTATTTATTTACTTTGGTTGTTGACATTAAGCATAGCATAGATAACAGAGAATGCCATTTTATCTTATATGTGTACTTGAGTGAGGTCAATGCCATTTTCAGGTATCAAACCAACTAAACAGGTTATATGTGAAGTTTCTCAAGAGGAATCCTGGTTATAATGGAAAGGTACTTTCTTGCTACAGAAATTAATTGAAATTTGAGATTTTGAGCTTAATAGTTGTATTAAGTACTACACGGAGTTTAATTTTGCAGGTGTCCATCTATGGCCACTCTCTGGGAAGTGTTTTATCTTTTGATATCCTTTGTCATCAAGATACGTTGCATTCACCTTTCCCAATGGAATGGTTATACAAAGAATGTAAAAGAAGTGAGGATTCTTCTACTAGGGATAATGTAGCATCTACATGCAATCCCACCCCACATTTTAAGGATGAGGACTGTGGGAATGTTGCAATTGAGAGCACAGTTGGTGCTGTGGATTGTTTAGACATTTTGGAAGATCCTGTGGAGGGAACATCTAATCCTTTGGGTCCTCCTGCATCATCAGAGTCTGACTTATCGTCTACAACTAACAGTGATGACCAGCAGACAAATTTTGCCTCATTATTAAATGAAGATACTAATGAAGGTTTTCACAATTCCAATAGTACAGATTTAGACAAAAGTGATATGTTGAATGACCCTAATAGCACAAAAAACGATGCGCTATTTGATGACAATGGAGATGAAAAGGCTCTCTTTCATCAAGGTGAAGCTGAAAGAGTCACTATAAGTAATGAGGATGTATCTGATAGTAATCAATATGAAACAATAAAATTGTTGCAGGAAGAGGTAGTTCACGAATTTTTTGGAGTTTCTTGACTGAATATCTTCTTTTGTCCTCACACACACTCACTCTTTTCCCAGATTGTTTTGCTGAAAGCAAAAATCAAAGAACTGGAAGCTGTATGTCCAGAAAAAGGTTTGATGTGTGGCTTCAATATGTTTTTGTTTTGGGCTTTAATTGTTCTAAATCTCAGTATCTATAAGTTGACTTTCTCTTATCTCATATGTCTGACCCAGGGAATGCAATGAGCAGTGGTTCATTAGTAAATCAATCTAGTCCTGAGGGAGCTCCATCTGGTCTGCGAGATTCCTGGAAGGCTTACACACCTCAAATTCGATACACAAAATTGGAGTTCAAGGTAATCTTCTTCATTTGTCCCAGTCCGGGATGTTGGCTGTAGAAACTTTGCTCAATGCTACAGTTAAGTTTGATCAGTTATAAATATGGCTTGTTGTGAAACTTCCACTCTCAAATCTCCTATCCAATCAATGCTATAACTTTCTCTGAAGAAGAAGGGAACCTAGTCTGAGAACCTACTAGCATCTTCTTCCATTCTATAGGCATTTTTCATGAAGTTTACAAGTTAGATTACCATATATGTTTATTATGATGTCAGGTTGACACATTCTTTGCTGTTGGGTCTCCTCTAGGCGTATTTCTTGCCCTCCGCAATATGCGAATTGGGACTGGTAACAGCTGCTGCTTGATCCTTCACAGGCTTATATTCTAGTTTTTCTTCTCTTTATACCTCTGCTGGATCTCGAGTGAAATCCTTCTAGCATTTGGGATGAACATCGTGTGGAAATATTCGGTTGTTTGGAGTTGATTATGTGCTTGGAATAATTCTTTTTGAAGTTTTCACCATTTATGTCCTGTTATTCTCTTTTTAACTTGAAAATTAAGTACATAATAGTTGAAGTGCAGATTTTGTTAATTACTTTAAGAGCAGTCATTTGAAATGATTATCAAATTTTTTGAGTGAAATGTTTTCAGGCTAATTGTTTAAGACAATGCTGAAACATATAAACTACACTTTTAAATCATTCTAAAATATATAAATGGCTTAGCATGGCCTACAGTACATTGCCATTCTACTGGTTGTAGATGTGTAAGTGAAACAGACAAGTCGTATTGAGAATTTGAGTTATGTCTTTGGTGCATCTGTTAAATAAGGATAAGGCTCTGTAATATCTTATGTTTGTTTGTTAGGAGAAGGCAAAGAGTACTGGAAAGATGAAAATATAACTGAACAGATGCCAGCATGTCGCCAAATGGTTAACATCTTCCATCCTTTTGACCCGGTAGCGTATAGGTCTGTCGGTTAATACTGTTTTTCACAATATTTTGATATTCTTTTCCTGACAAACTTGAAATCACGTTTTAATTGTTTACGGCTTTTCGCGCACAGAATTGAACCGCTCATATGCAAAGAATTTGTACACAAACGTCCTGTTATTGTTCCTTACCACAGAGGTGGAAAAAGGCTGTATGTTGGGTTTCAGGTAAGGGCATATTTAATCTCCACTGATGTTTCCAGGTAGCTCCTCTTCTTTTTTATTTGTGCTAATTTCACGTCGATGTCATACAAACAGGAATTCAAAGAAGGGTTAGCCTCTCATGCTCAGTCTATAGCCAATCACTGGAACACCATAAAGGTGGGCAACACTAATTTATCTCTTCGACTCTATAAGTAATTTGCTTCTCTCGATTCTCTTCAACAGGTTGAGTCGAGAGTGTTTTTATCATATAGCTTCATAGTTGCATTAGTTTATCTACCATTTTTATTTTTATTTTTGCTTTGATATTGTATATAGCTAGAGCTGGGAGATGTGAATTAATTATGTATATTATGCATCTGTAGTATTATTATTGTTAAATGCTTGTTTGCATATTTAGGTGTGTGAATTATTTGTAAATGTAAAATTTTATGAATGATCATTGCTGGACGCAAGTTCCAATCAGTACGAAATTGTAACTTGATTGCAAGAATTTTTCACGTTTGGTTTATTCATAATTTTGACTGTGAATTTTATTGGGCAGGTTAAAGTGCTGACAGTTTGTGAATCGAGACACAACAATGGCCCGGATGGTAAGCATATCCAAAGCTCTCGATTAAACTGTTTGATTATCTTTGAAAGACCTTGCGGCCATATATCGCTTGCAGGGGAATCTGAGAAGCCTGAACAAAAAGAAAGATTATATGGCTCGGTTATGATGGAGAGAATAACTGGAAGTGAAGATGGGCGAGTGGATCATGTGTTACAAGTAAGCCCTTTACAGTTTTCACTCGAAACAATTCCACCAGCTCATTATTTATCTTCACTGGCCATGGCTTTGGCATTGCAGGATAAAACTTTTAGACATCAATACATATCAGCTATTGGATCACACACGTACTTTTCTTCTTCTTCTTCTTCTTCTTCAGCTTTCTTATATCGATCCTAATAGTTGATCTGTTCTCACTGCAACTCAATTGTAATATTGCTTGTGCAGAAACTACTGGAGAGATCCGGATACTGCTCTGTTCATGCTAAAGCACTTGTATGGGGATATTCCAGAGGATCCGCCATTGGTGGCTAATGATAAAGATAAGGTGGAATCAAAGGGGAAGGGGAAGGGGGGGTGGTCTGATCCAAGGAAGGTGAGTGATGCAGAAGTCCCTTTAACCTTTGCTGATGCTGTCTTCATAAAGCACTTCTCCCACAAAGTCAAGAAAATGGGAAACAATAACTGAAACCATCGGAACGGCCTGCGTCTGTTTTCGACGAGGACGACGACTACGAGGATGGGCAGTTGTTGCATTTGTCAGATTGTTTTAAGTTCAGAAATCATCGCCTAAAGATGACAGTTGCAATGCCGCTGCATATTTCGTACAAATAAGTGGTCTATGTTCTGCACTTTTTGTTTTTTTTCTATGATTATTTGCTTTATGTTAATTATAAATAAAAAATTATATTTTTTTATTCATCTACTTTTATTATATAAATTTTTATTATCTATAATATGATATTTATATTATATGTATATTATTAAAATAATTAAAAATATTTAAAATTTTTTTTTAATCTTATATATTACATCGTAAATCAAATTAGTTAAGTAAATTACTTTTAACCCAACCGGTAACCAAAGACAGCTGTGTAATCGGAGCCGTGCTATAAGTACAATTATATTTAATAGTTAGTTATAATTGTTGGACGAAATGCAAATGTTCTACTAGTATAATTTATTTATTTTTCACAAAAATTTTGCAAAATTGTTTATAATTAGATATGGTTTTAATAAATTGGCATTATACTTGATAATTTAAAAATTACACAAGTTCTTTTGTGTTGTAATAGGTGTCAATTTTTACAAGTATTAAATCGTATTCTTTGCTTATATATAAAGGCTCAATTACGATGAAATAAAAGGAATTTGAATATTTCTCTCTTACTCCTTTCGTCTCTCTCTATTCATACCCCTCTCTATATATGTATATATATACTTATTTGTTCATTTTGTGAATTGCAAAAAGTTTCATTCACACGGTCATATATATATTTATATATTATATCTAATTTGTTATATATTTTATAACATTTTGTCTTTATTATATGAGATACGGCCTTTCTTGAGTTTTGGCATTTATTTAATTATTTTATATTTAAATAATATAAAATAATATTTGTTATATTCTAAAAGATTTTTTTAGTTTGTTTGCTTTTTACCACAAATAAAAATATATTATTTTTTTATTAAAATATTATTCCTTTTGTCCTAGATATGATGTCTTTTTTACTGTAAATACGAGAATTTATAAGAAATATAATTAGTAAATAACTAAAAATTTATTAGTGAAAATAATTATTATTTAATAAAAATAATTTTAAATTAAGATTAAGATAACTAATTACTATAATTAAAATAAAAAAAATAAATTAAAATTTTTTAAATAAGATTAAAGTGTATAATACTTTTTCAAAATAAAAAAGTGATAAAATAAGTGGGACTGACGGAATTGAAAAAATGGACACAGTAATTGGGATAGGGAGTATATTAAAATATATTTAAATCAAAATTTCAATAAAAATTTTAAATTTAAATATAATCAAACAAATTTTAATATAAATATTCTAATATTATACATATATTTATAATATATATATATTGTATTTATATATATATTGTTTTTTTTCTATAAAATGGGGGCCAAAGGTCGTGAAAAAATAAAAAAATAAAAAATAAAAAGGTCCTGGGCATGGGCGATTGTGGTATGAGAAATATTGTATATAAACTTTTTATAAAAAATTGTGCAATATGTTAAAAATATAAAAAGTCTACTGCAATTTTTGCAGACCTTTTAAATCACAAATGATGTTTTGTTTTATTATTATTATTTTTAAAAGAAATAAAATTCTAAAATTTTAAAAAATAATTGTGTTTGTGATATTAATATAGGATTAACTAATAAAAGTAAAATTATTATTATTATTATGGTTAACCACTATTTTATATATTATAGTATATAAATATATGTGTGGCAATTTGTGTAATAATATATATATATATATATATTTATAGAAGTCTTTGGTGGATCAAGAAAAAATTTTTAGTGGTTGCACAATATATAAATTTAAAAATAAAATAAATTATTAGACTCGATTTATTAAAAAATAATAATAATATAATATTATTTTGTATATTTATGTTTTAAAATATAAATTAATTATTTTAATTTGATTGAATTTTAATTATTTGTATATTGATGATATTTTAAAATTTAAATTTTAAATAATCCACCTCTTTTTTTTTTTTTGGATAATGATGCAATTTTAAATTTTAAGTGGGGCACCACAGTTTTTCAGTTGTAGAATATTTATTAAATTATAAAAATTTTCTTTTAATATAATAAAATCCCCTGTGATCGTGTATGTTGGTGTTTATATGTTAAAAGAAATGTAGGGTGTGTTTGTTTGGGGGTTTGGATTTTGAGTTGGGATTTGAATAGTAAAAATTTTGAATTTGAATAGTTGTATGATGTGATATAAATAGGGTTTGATGTGATGTTTTGAATGTAAAATTGATTTTTAGTATAATATAAAAAATAAAAAATAGGTATTTGATTTGATGTTTTTGGGGGGAAAAAATTGGATGAATAGTGGAAATCCACCAAAATCCTTCAAACAAACACACCCGTAATGGTTATTGTGATATTTAATGTGTTAGAGGAGAGAGATGAGATAAAGAGAGGAATAGGTGAAAATGGAAATACAGTTTATTTTATTTCTTCGTACATATATTTATAGTGAATTCAAGATTGATTGTGTGCTAATCAGTTTGCCACCATGAATACACATATTACATACGTCGACATTTAAAAGACATCCACCTAATGTACACGTAGCAATAATGTGTACAACACGCTTCATCTTGGATGATTTGATACGAAAAATGTGTCTCTTTAGAATTTTATTAGAAAAAAATTTTGTGGGAAAAGAATTTTAATGAAGAAAAAAGAGTATAACATTCTCGTGCTTATATGCTCCTTGGTTAATAAGCCCGCTTAGTTATTATCTGATCAAATTTGTTTCACATCAATTTCACAATTTTGTTGAAGATCATGAGTGAAAAAGAATTTTGGTGAAATATATTTCGTTCTATCGCTTTTAATGTAACTTTCTTTCAATTGAGCTATACAAGTTGTATTATCTTCATACAATATAGTTGGAGAAATTTTATCTTCAGGTATTAACCCGTAATTTATTAAAATATATTGAGTAATTGATCTTAACCAAACACATTCTCAACTACCTTCATGTATTGCTAATATTTCAGCATACTTTGAAGAAATGACAGTTAAAATTTATTTCATCGACTTTCAAGAGTTCACAGTTTCGCCACAAGTAAATACGTAGCCAGTTTGTGATTTGGCTTTATGAGGATCAGATAAATATTGTATTGGCAAAACCAATCAATTCATGTCGAGATCTTTCGAGTAAAAAACTCGAGATCAATTTTCCTTGGAGATAGCAAAAAAAAATGCTTAATTCCATTCCAATATCGTCGAGTAGGCGATGAGCTAAATTTTTTCAGTAAATTTATAGCAAATGATATGCCAAGTCGGGTGTTGTTGGCAAGGTACATCAATGCACCTATAGCACTAAAATATGACACTTCAAGGCAAAGTGTTTTTCATTTTCCTCTTTTGCTTTTAATGGATCATTTACTGGATTAAGTGTTCTGACGATTATCGGAATACTTAAGAGATGTGAATTATCAAGAAGAAATTGTTTTAATACTCTTTGGATATTAATTTTATTGGTGAATAAAAATCCCACTTTCTAAATGTTCAATTTGCAAACCAAGGTAAAATATGGTTTTTTCCAAAAAATTTTATTTTAAACTCATTTTTTAGATATTCAACCGTTTTTTTTTGAATTTCATCAAAAGTTCCAATGAAATTGAGATCATTGATATATACAACGATGATTACAAATTCTAACTCGTTTTTCATTATAAAAAAACATGGACATATGAAGTCATTTATGTAACATTCTTTTGTTAAGCTTTCACCGAGGCAATCATACCACATTTGGCTTGATTGTTTGAGCCCATACAAATATTTTTGCAATTTGATGAAGTATGTTTTTTCTTTGTTTTGATTTAGATGATTCAGGCATGGTAAATCCTTTTGGGATTTTCATGTAAACATCATTGTCAAATGAGCCATAAAGATATGTAGTAACCACATTCATTAATCGCATATCAAAATTATTGTATACCGCCATACTCACCAGGTACCTAAATGTTATTTCATTCATGACGGCGAATATATTTTTTCAAAATTGTTGCCCGGTCTTTGGGAAAAACCTTATGCTACAAGCCTTACTTTATATCTTGTGATATTATTATTATTATTATTATTATTATTATTATTATTATTATTATTATTATCACATATACCCACCTGTAGGTAATATGTTTCACATTTTCAGGTGTTTGGACTATGAGGCTGAATATTTTTTGTTTATTCAATAAGTCCAATTTAGACTGAGTTGTGACACGACCACACTTACATCATACTACTAACACCAATTCTTATATAAGTAAACGATAAACATGCTACAATCTCTCTTAATTACTTACATATATAACATGTTAACCTGCTATAAATTTTTTTCTCAGCAAAACATAACATAACTCAACAGTAACCTGTTAACATTCACTAAAAGGATCTCAAACCATATCAAAAATTACACAGTCGACATACTCTTTATAACAACACCATACAACTTCTAAAATAGACGTAATATGGAACAACGGAAGCAAAATAAGCCACGGTCCTGCCCGCAGGTCGTCATCTATGTACACAGTAACTCAAAATGCCTGTAAGAGCGCCACGGCTACTCTAGTCTGACCATCAAGTCATATATCATCAGGATTACCTACAATGCATAAACTGAGTGAGATTTATAAATCTCCGTAAGTAGAATTTATGCACGATGTGAAGTTTATCTCAAAATTCTCAATATGCAGAATGTGCTCTCGTTTGAAATCACCAATTTATTTATGAAATACTCTCCAGGGCCCCTAGACACACTACTATTCACTGGAAAGAGCTCAATATCCGCATATTCAAATTAAACGGTGGCCTACACCAGGTAGCCTACACCAGGTTTCCACGCAAGGTTTCCCCGGGTCGCTTCTTCCCAGGTCCTCTTCCGAATGTATTGTTTATGCATTGTATGTAAAGTCACAATAGACAGTGGCCTACACCAGGTAGCCTACACCAGGTTTCCCCAGGTCGCCTCTCCCGCCCTCGGTGTATAATCAGCGGTTTAACATAGTAAAACCATCTTATTTCATTCCAATGCATGCTTAATGAAAATGCAAAGCAACATATTTCATAATATACATATATTATTGAACTCATTGGTTTAAACCACATCAATTTTGGAACTCACAGACTCCTTCAACATCAAACA